TGAAGGAATATTATGCTAAACCCTACAGGTGGATTTATTCCAACATAATATGAATGTTGTGAGCGAGCGTTAGCTTCGGTAATATAATATATTAATTAATTCTTGATTATCAGTGATCAAATTAATTGATGGACATTATATCTTAAACATGGGGAGGTAAATCGAATAATTATAATAAGGAGTCTCAAATGTAATTTGGGATAGGTGAGGGGAGTGCAATAATATTATTGTGGTGGACTTTAATATTATTAATATATTAATTGTGGGGTTGCTCCACAGTATTAATATATTAGAAGCCCTTATCTTATTCTCCTTAGGGTCCCTACTGTAGCTCTATATATACAGCATTAGGCTCTTGGAAGAATACATACAATCCCATAACCTAGCAAACATGTCCGCCCCCTCTCTCTCTCTTCCAAGGAGTTGTTATATTTCTTGTGCTCCACTGATACAAGATCTAGATAACTGTTTGAGAATACAGTAGAAGATCTTAAGGTATATACGGGATTCCAATAAAATCTATCATCCATCCAAACCAGAGACCAAAACCAACAAGTGACAATACCACGACAACCAGGACGACCAGTCGGAGAGATCGCCGTCGAGATCGCCGCCAGCCGCCGCCGCACGCGCCTACACGCGCCACCGGAGGATTGTTGCTGCTGAGACTCACACGCGCGCGTGAGAGCGCGTGGACGCTCTGATTCCCGACCGGTCAATGCCGTTGACTTTGCCGTGACGCCAGCTTCCTGGATTGGTCAAGTTTGTTCGATTCTGAGAAGATTTGATTTGCGGTCATCCGTTCGGGCCAGCCAGATCTACATAAATTTTAAGCCGTAAGTTTTCTACATCAAACCTTTAGATCCACTGCGCATAGGTTTATGTTTGAATGTTTATTCGTGATTTGTGCATATCGAGATCCTCATAGATCCCAACAGCCCGACACCGCGAAGACCATCTGGTTGCGACGCGAAGGGGACGGGCGGATGGTCGATTCACCGACAACCGACGCAGGGGCCCGATCAATGCAACCGTGGCCTCACGACCGACCGTCAGCGCTTGACCACCGGGGCCAGTAGTAAGGCGGCTATCTCCCGAGGAAGTCAAGCGTCGGCGAGAGAAGGGCCTATGTTTCAAATGTGAGGAGAATTTTACGCCAGGCCGTCAGTGTAAGCAAGCTTTTGTGATCGAAGTTGCTAACTCTGATGAGGAAGGATCTGAGGTCGAGGAGGAACCACGACAGAAGGATGAGGTTGAGGTGCCCGACGAAGAAGCAGAAATCTCGATGCACGCAATGGCCGGGATTAGAGGACCTCGAACGATGCAATTGCCAGCTTGGGTCAAGGATCGTAGGGTGGTGGTGCTCGTAGACAACGGGTCATCGCACAACTTCATTAATGCTGACTTGTCCCAGAAGCTGAACTTACCAAACACGAAGATTGAGCCTTTTGAGGTACGAGTAGCTAATGGTGAGAGGCTGCAATGCACTGAATCTTTTCGAAAGGTGCCGATCAAGTTCCAAGGAGTCATGGTAAAAGCTGATCTTTATGCTTTACCCCTAGTTGGACCGAATGTCGTACTAGGAGACCAATGGCTTGAAGGATTAGGCAAAGTGACCACCGACTACCGAACCAGAGTTATGGAGTTCAAATCTGGAGGTCGACAAGTCACTCTGAGCACCGGCACTGAGAAAGGAACTAAAGAAGTTGGGTTGAAGAGTATCGAAAGAGTTTGGCTAAGTGGTGGTCAAATATTCGCTGTAGTAGTCGAAAGAAGGGAGCCACACATGGAAGAGGCTGGACAATAGCAGGGTGATGTGCGCAAGCTTCTTGAGGAATTCGAGGGGGTGCTAGGCGAACCCAAAGGCCTGCCACCTTACCAGGAGTTCGACCACCGCATACCCCTGGTAAATGAACAGCATGCAGTACACGTTCATCCATATAGGTACGCTCACTTCCAGAAAACTGAGATTGAAAGGCAAGTGGCTGAGATGCTAGAATCGGGGTTAATCCAGCATAGCAAGAGTCCATTTTCTTCACCAGTACTGTTAGCTAAAAAGAAAGATGGCACGTGGAGGTTTTGTATTGATTTCCGAGCTTTGAATGCCGCGACTATCAAGGATTGATTTCCTATTCCTAGTGTCGACGACATGCTCGATGAGTTAGCTGGATCACGTTACTTCTCGAAGCTCGATCTGAGAGCTGGTTATCATCAGACTCGGCTCCACAAAGCCGACATACCGAAGACAGCTTATCTTACGTATCAGGGACACTATGAGTATTTTGTGATGCCATTCGGGCTATGCAACGCCCCATCCACTTTCCAGTTTGCTATGAATTCTATCTTCAAGGAGTATCTACGTAAGTTTGTTCTAGACTTCTTTGATGATATACTGGTGTATTCAAAGTCATGGGCTGAACATCTGGAGCATTTGAGAGTGGTGCTTGAAGTCTTGGAGGCTAACTCATTTCACATCAAGCCGTCCAAGTGCTCATTCAGACAGGAGATGGTCGAGTACTTAGGCCACTTTATATCTCATAATGGCGTGACGGTTGATCCAAGGAAGTTAGAGGCGATGGTCGACTGGCCCAAGCCAACGAGTCTCATGCAACTCAGAGGGTTCCTAGGGATCACGGGCTATTACCGGAAGTTTGTGAAGGATTATGGAACCATCCCCAAGCCACTGACAAAGATGACTAAGAAAGGCGGGTTCACTTGGACCGTGGCTAGAGAGGAGGCATTTGGGAAACTGAAAGTAGCTATTACTACAATGCCAATGCTCGCCATGCCGAGGTTTGATGTCTTGTTCGAGGTACACACAAATGCGAGTGACATTGGGATTGGAGCTGTGCTAGTGCAAGAAGGATGACCCTTAGCCTATCTCAGCAAGGCACTAGGCACCACTCGACTAGGTTTATCTGTGTACGTGAAGGAGATGCTAGCAGTTGTCAAGGCTGTAAGGTGCTGGAGGCCTTATCTATTGGGACGACGCTTTCGGATTGTGACCGACCAACAGCCGCTTAGGCTTCTACTCGAGCAAAGGATTGTTACCCCCGAGCAGCAGAAGTTCGTGTCGAAACTTATGGGGTTTGACTTTGAGATAGTCTACCGACCAGGCCGACAGAATGCAGTAGCTGACGCACTATCCAGACGGACTGATGTGGCTGAGCTGGATGCTCTCACCAGACCGGCTTGGGCTATTTGGGAGGAAGTCAGGAAGGTGCAAAAAGAAGACACTTATTGCCAAGAGTTGCGTCAAGCAGACGAAGCAGGTAAGACGACTACTGTTGATTATGAGTTGCACAATGGTCTGCTTCTACACCGAGGCCGAGTATTCGTTCCCGACAGAGGGCAGTTACGCGAGCAGATCATGCAGCACTTCCACGATTCTAAGATAGGAGGCCACTCGGGTATATACCGCACATGGATGAGAATAGCCAATACCTTCTTTTGGCCAGGACAACATAATACGGTCCGAGATTACATAGCACGGTGCGACGATTGTCAATGCACTAAGGCTGACTCACGATGGCCGAGCGGACTATTACAACCTCTACTAGTACTCGAGGCAATTTGAGAGGACATTACTATGGATTTCATCGAGGGATTGCCAAGTTCTAATGGGTTAAACGGTCTAATGGTCGTAGTGCATCGACTTACGAAGTATGCCCACTTCATACCCATCACACATCCTTACACAGCTGTAACACCCCACTTTGATTTTAAAGAAATTCCGGACTTTCCAAAAATCAGTATAAAATTTTCGAAATTCATTTTCGAAATCGTGGGCGTTATACAACATTAAACATCAACCAAGTCATATCTGGTTGTTCACATGGTTTTCATTAACCTTTCAGAACCCAACTCCACATTGATATTTGCTAAACACTATAGCATGCACATAATATTCAAAAGACAATATCTTTATGAATATCCAAAACCAATCATTTGACCATTCTCAAAATACGTTTTGAAAATAGTTCAAAGTATCTCAATCAAAAGAGGTTCCCAGACACCACATATTATTCATAAACGGAAGCATAATCATAAAAACATAATAAACCATCGACCCACTCGTCATCCTCCGTCATCCGGCACCTGCTTAACCTGCATCCGTGAAGAGAGGTGGGAGTGAGCACAAGAGGAAAATAGTGCTCACTACTATGCACATAAATAATA